ATGTCTGTAGTACAGAGTACTACTGGAAGCAGGGTGTTGCAGCCTACTTAGATCAATGAGTAAATCTATCTTGAGAACACATATTACAGCATAAATATCAGCACAGTTCTGAGACACAATTTTTGTAACCACTCTCCCATCTGTGATCCTTCTCATTTAAATTCTGTAAATGAAGAACAGCCTACAAAAGCCATTGCTGGATCATTTATTTTCATATAGAAACTTACATCTCAGTTACTTCACTGGAATCCCAAAACCTTCACTCATGAATATGCTCCTTTGGTGACTGAGTTCAGACAGCTACCATTTACACAAATCGTCAGAAATGCTTCTAAATCATTAATAGAAAAATATAAATTAAATAAAGGGGAAATGCAAAAACTAACTCTCCAACCTAGAGGTTATACTGTGCGTTGTACTGCCTACTGCTTCTAGGAAGACAGCATCAAGGTTCTTGTCAGATACATAAAAATAACTTCCCATCTAAAGTTTTACTGTGGACTGGTAACACGGAAAGTTTTACTGAAAAGAAATACTTCAAATCAGTGAATGATTAAAGACAGTATTTACTAAACAAATGTTTAGCATTTTTATGTAGAATTTTGAATTAAAATGGAGAAGTCCCAGCATTAGGTTTATTTTTTTCCAATTACACTGTTGAAGAAAGCACTAATACCTGTATTTGAATTACCAGGGTTGTAGACTTTTGTAAACCACTCCAGACCAAAACAGGTTTGAATTCTGGACATCTCTTTCAAAATGTAACAACCTGCATCCAAAAACACTAACAAATACCTATCCCAATTTACAAAACCTTCCTGTGCATACTTAAAACTAGTACTTCTCAAAGGCTTGTAATGCTTGTTTTTATGCATCTCTCATATTACTTAATAGCTCTTAGAAATTAACAACAAATACAGGACAGTATCAAACAGTCTTTGTGCTTTCCTAACATGTCTAAATCACATTTATCTACCCTTCTTGTCAGCAAAATTCATTAATATAAATGCGCAGGTTTGCATATTTGCCCTGAATACCAAGCTACTGCAAGGATTAAGAAAGAACGGTGTAGCTGACAACACTTTGCCAAACACTATACAGAAAAAAAACCCCAACACAGCTACAATACATAAGTGATCTGCAATACTTACTATTTATACGTTTCTGAACGAATGTATTCAAAAACATGAGACACTCCCAGCTGGAACTGGTCAGCAATAGGGGTAACCCAAGGATTGTTCTCTGCTTTGAAGACTTGCTTTTGACCAGTCAAATCCAAATTACCTGAAAGGGATTAAACAAAACAGCATATGAAAAAAATTTGAACTATGAAAAATCTGAAAGAAATATCTTGCTGCGAATACAAAACTTTTCATTCATTTCAAAGAGTACAACATAGCAAAAGCAAGTACTTCAGTCTCAGTGGAGATGAATAGGAAGACATAGTAGTTCCCACCATGACGGATGCAGATCTGCCCTGTTCATTTCAGTGCTACTAGATAACGTACGGCAGGATTGAACTCGGCCCACTGCATATAATTATTCATCAAATTAGTTTTAAGCAAGGCTTAATAGCGCACAGGTGTTGGGTCCTCTCCAGCACAGCCTGCAGGAACGAAAGGAGAATGATGCTGTGGTAGGAATTTGCTCTGCTGGAGCTTTGCATTGCAAAGCTTTTCTCCATCACCGCTCCACGCATAGTGTCAACAAGCGATGCCCAACAGGCTTTTTATCTTCCCAGTGCCCAATGTGCTGTTTGTACCGAGATCCTACCACTGATCTGTGGTTATAGCTCTCTATACTGAGAGCAACAAACAAAAAGCATCTTTCTTGCAACATGCCAGTTTTACCCATTCAGTTGACAGGAAGACTTAAGAGACCTATTAGGGGGTTGCTTGGGGTTTTTTTGTTTGTTTTGTAAATGTTTACCACCCAAAACCAAAACAGTACATGCTCTACTGAAACTCCTCATGACTATGGATACAACAGGTTGAATTCCAGGATGGTCTAGCCATTTAAATATTTTCTTGTGTTTTTCAAATGAATGTAACAAATCTGTGCTACATTTTACATTTATTTTTGTGAATTTTAGGATGAAGAGAGGCCTATTCTCCCCCCCGAAATATAAAGTAACAAATAAAAAAACCCCACAGTAATCTTTAACTATGAGAAACAAAAAAAAGAGTTACAACGTTTAGAAGACTGACAGAAGTTGTCAGAGAAATGTGAAATCAACCTGATCTGCTAGCTTTTCAAAATTAAAGGCACCCGTGTAAGCTGCAAGAACTCGCGCGCATGCTGCGGGAGCCGCTGCAAGCCGTGTGCTGGCTGTCCACTTCAGTTGCACATTCTGCCGTCACAGCTAATCGTCGACATGCTTCTCTCCACAAAAAGGGTTAACACAATTAAAGACAGACCATTATACCGTGTGAAAAGATGTCACGCATCTCATATCGGCCCATCAGCAAGTTACCGTTGCCTCCGCGAGCTCATCCGTCAGCTGTCTGAGGCCTGTTCTCTCGGAATAACAACAGGCAGGGAGCCTCTCGCCCCTCTGTCAGTCAGGCAGCAGCTGCCCTCGCTGCCTCACGCTTCGCTGCGCCTCGTTAGGAGCCTCGCACCCATCTCCTTGATTAAGCCCCGTTCTAACAAGGATCAGGAAGCAGGATTAAGTACTGTGACAAAGAGGACCTAATAAGCTAGAAACTGGTGTGTCTAAATCCACGCTGGCTGGCTCCAGGCACGGGCTCACGCTCCCCGCCGTTCAGTCCTCCGGCGCCGGCCGCTGGCGAAGCAAGGCAGCCCTGCGATTAGCCGCAGCCCTCTGACCGCTGCTGCTACGAAGATCATGTATCACTCAAGGGCTTGCTTTGCAACTGCAAATTGGATTCTCTATTTTATTACCTCCAAAAATCCACACACGTTGCCCTCTAAAACTACCGGCACTGTAAGCTCCCGCTTGTAATTACAGCTCTGCAAGTACTGCATCAGGATAAAATGATCAATCTGTATACAACTAATAAAAATAGTTTATTTTGGGGAGACAAGCTTGGCCCCATCATGGGTCAAACTCGATGCTGCTTACAGGAATAAGTCACGCATTCCCAAAATCTCAATAGCCAGGGTCTCAACTGAATTCTCTCACCCCAAGCTGTGTCAGTCCCTCAGCGTAGCATGCCCACTTCCATTCCACATACCACATGGCCAATTTAAATGTAATTAATTGTAATAGATACTATTCTACTAAAACTAAAGAAATCTTACAGCAAAAAGAGGACTCAAGCGAAACGAACTGTAGGCCTCCATGCCAAGGTAATCACTTCATTTTCCTCCACCTTCTAATTTTCCCCAAAACACACTGGGCCCAGGTACAGACACTACCTTTCACCTTCGGAGAGAAGGGGCAGGAAGAGGCCCTGAGGGTAAAATTAACCTCACTGTGGAGAAAACCGGGGCACACAAAAGCCCATAATCTGCACTGACCCCCCGCCCAGGAGGCCCCTCCAGCAGCCCACCTGGCAGCAGCCCGGCCCGCCGGCCACCGACAGCCGCCGGCCACCGACAGCCGGAGCGAGTGGTCAGCCGCCATCTCACAGCCCGGTGCTCGCACCGAAGAACTTCATCCAGCGTTACAGCACGAAAAGGAACAACCTGTTAGCCCTCACGGCAAGCACCAGGCAGGCACTCCTCCAGGCAGGAGGGAAGGTGGGCTGTGTCACGGGGAGTTTGGTACTGAAATTTCCATTTGGAAATGAAGGACACAAACAGGCAGAAAATGAAGCAGGGTAAGAAGTTCACAGAGAGCCTGGCACACCTTATCAGCACAAGGGAGGAAACAAAGTATATTATTCCTGCCATAACATAAGCCACTTGAGAACAAAGACACCGTATAATTAAATCTGAGACAGGATGAAAACATGTCACTCCTGCACAGCCATTTACTGCTTGGGGCCACATCCTGGCATCCGTTCTGCGCTTACAGCTAAACCCTGAGCGAATCGAGGGCTCACCTAGTTCTGCTCCGGCCGCAGGACAGCCAGGAGCCCCGCACACGAGGCCAAGGCCTCAGGAACAGCAGGTGGAGGCCACCGAACATGCGGGAGCCCGGCACGGACCCTTCTGCCCCCGCGCACCAAGATAAACCCAGCAGCGCGGAAGAGACGACCAAACCCGCCTGGAGCCATGGCTCTGGTACCAGGCTCGCTGCAGGGGTGCTGGGCAGCCGGACACCTTACAGATGTGTCCCTGTCCCCCATCAACAGACTCCTTGCCTAAAAGTTTTTTTTATGGCAGCACTGTGCTGAGAAATGCTGTTATTCCATCCCTGCAGCACTAGAGCCGGGGGCCAGAGAAAAAGCCATGGCAGATGCGCCTTTATGCATATTGTCTTACAGCAGCATCAGCAGAACACTATCCCCAGGCCTTTAGGAAATTTATATACTGTTCTGCTACACAGATCACATCAAATCCCTCTGTATTTTTAGTAAGCAAAATACAAAATTGCCTCTAGTAAAAATCCAGTACTGAAGATTCAATCACAAAACACACCGCGGTTGGAGATTGCATTGGTCGTTGCTGGTTTGTTCTTTCCATGCACATCAGCCTATTAAAAAAAAAAATCTATTTATCACCTCTAAAATTTGACATAACTAGTAGACTAAAATTGTGTTTCTTCATAATGGACTTCAGGTTCTCGCTATTTTGCCACAGTGAAAGATACCAACTCCACTGAAATGCATTAGGCACATGCCTCTGGTAAGGGTAAGAGAGGAGGAGAAGAAGGGCCAGGGCTCTCGAAGGCAGGGGGGTCCATGAGTGCTGGTTGCTCTTTAAACAACACTTCTTCCATGCACAGGAGCAATGCATCCCCCTGAGAAAGAAATCGAGCAAAGGAGGCAGGAGACCTGCATGGTTAAACAAGGAGCTTCTAGCAGAGATCAGGCAGAAGAGAAAGGTCCATGGAATGTGGAAAGAGGGGCAGGCCACTTGGGAAGAGTACAGGAACGTGGTGAGAGCATGCAGGGATGCGACGAGGAAGGCCAAAGCCCACCTGGAATTGAAACTGGCAAGGGATGTCAAAAACAACAAGAAGGGATTCTTCAACTACATCAGCAGCAAAAGGAAGGCTAGGGACAATGTGGGGTCGCTGCTGAATGAGGCGGGTGTCCTGG